CTGAGGCAGGAGAATCTCTTGAACCCAGGAGGCAGAGGTTGCAGTGAGCCAAGATAGCGCCACTGCACTCCAGCCTGGGAGACAGAGCAAAACTCTATCTAAAAAAAAAAAAAAAAAAATCCAAGATGCCCTACTGCTCCACTCCTCCAAGCTAAGGTTCCGGGGCTCCCGGCTCAGGGATGGTGTGAAAGAACTAGCAGCTACAGGGATGATGTCATGGTGTCCCTAGCCTGGACTCTTACGGTCAATTTATAGTTGAGAGGATAGAGTGTTCTTTGTTTCCAGAGCGTGCTGGGCAGGTGCTGCTAGGAAGGGTTGAGAATGGGGTCAGGGCCATAAAATGTCCCAGGACAGGAGAGAAGCAGCAAAAACCGCGTCTACTTCTGAAGGAATATTTGAGAGTCCCTACACAGCTAGGGGAAAAGGCTGTAAGTTGGGAGTCAGTAGTAACTGCCCTGTCTGACCCAGGCAGTGTTACTAGAGGAGTAAACTCGGTGCCCTAATCCTCACTTCTTCACCCACCACTCTAAGCATCTCTACCTTATTCTGCAGTCAGGGCCTCCAATCAGACCTAACCAGAATTAGGGAGAGTTTCTATGCAACAAACTTGTGCTAGATACATGCAGGGTATGTTGGCCTTAGGTTGAGATCATGCCTCTTCAAGACACTGTGTTCATTCTTTTTTTTTTTTTTTTTTTTTTTTTGAGACAGAGTCTTGCTCTGTGCCCCAGGCTGGAGTGCAGTGGCCCCATCTCGGCTCACTGCAAGCTCCGTCCCCCCCCCCACCCCGGGTTGACGCCATTCTCCTGCCTCAGCCTCCAGAGTAGCTGGGACTACAGGCGCCCGCCACCTCGCCCGGCTCATTTTCTTGTATTTTTAGTAGAGACGAGGTTTCACCGTGTTAGCCAGGATGGTTTCGATCTCCTGACCTTGTGATCCGCCCGTCTCGGCCTCCCAAAGTGCTGGGATTACAGGCTTGAGCCACCGCGCCCGGCCGACACTGTGTTCATTCTTACAAGCCGTACAATATTTGCTGTATAGGAATTAAAACTAAGAAATGGGCCGGGCACAGTGGCTTACGCTGGTAATCCCAGCACTTTAGGAGTGCAAGGCGGGAAGATCACCTGAGGTCGGGAGTTCGAGACCAGCCTGACCAACATGGAGAAACCCCGTCTCTATTAAAAGTACAAAAATTAGCAGGGTGTAGTGGCGCATGTCTGTAATCTCAGCTACTTGGGAGGCTGAGGCAGGAGAATCGCTTGAACTTGGGGGGCGGAGGTTGTAGTGAGCCAAGATCGCCGTTGCACTCCAGCCTGGGCAACGAGCGAAATTCCATCTCAAAAAGAATAAATAAATAATAATAATAAAAATACAAAAATTAGCTGGGTGTGGCGGTGGGCGCCTATAATCCCAGCTACTTGGGAGGCTGAGGCAGGAGAATCCGTCTCAAAAAAAAAAATCTATATATATATACACATACACATATATATATATATATAC